CCTCACGATATGCGAACTCAGGAGCAAGTGTCTGTGCATTTGAAGGAGACGGTTCAGCAAAGTTTGATAATTGACCTTGAATTTTCTCAAAATTTTGGCAAGCGGCCTTAAGAGAGTTAATTGAGGAAATGGGTGAAGCTGCGGCTAAAGTGTTGGCATAACACGGTCTCACATTGTGCGACAAAATTTCTAATTTATCCTCCTCCGACAAGGACCTGTCTAGACGCGAAAACATACCTTCCATTATTGAAAGGTAAATGGAAATGGATTCGCTCTTTCCCTGTGTTCGTGAACGAATTTCAGATATGAAACGGTAGTCGAAATCATGGGGACTAAAATCGGCCTTGAGCAAAGGTAAAAGTTCCGTCCAAGTAGATACCCTCGGTTTTACGCAGCGAAACCAATGAAGTGCTTCATCCGTAAATATCTCGTAACCAAATGAGAGAATTTTCTCATGAGATATTCCTCTCGATTCAACAAATTCATTAATTCTTTGAATAAAAGATCGAACGCAAGTCTTACCATTGAATTTAATTTTATTTATATCTGCCGTATTTTGTCTTTCGACAGTAACGTTAATTATAGATTTTTCTAGATCGGATACTAATTGTGTCGGTAGTTTTGATTTTGGTTCAACATAAGGCTTCAAAACAAGTAAATCTTTGTATTGAGAATCAAAGTTAAGTTTACAACTATCAAAAACTTTAATCAAGGCATCACTAGGATCAATTCTATTCAATCGGTGATATATTTGATTAAGCAAAAACTCAGTTCTGAGAAATAAATTTTTGTCGAATTTAATTTTTAGGGTAGATAAATTATTAAATGATTTAGCTAAACTTTCTTGAACACCTTCAATGTCTTCGTCTGGTTCCAGATGGGAAACAAGAATGTCCTCTGGAGAAATTTCCTTATCAAAAATAACTATTTGTTTCCTCAACTCGGCCACGGATGTACCGGGAACCAATCCACGTAGACCAACTTCATATTCAAGTTCAGACTTGTTTAAAGAAAAAAAATTAATAGGGTATTCACTGGCCATAATGAAAGCAATGACTTCTAACGCGGTAGAAAAATTGAAAAGTGATTAAGGGTGAGTGTTCCGTCGAAGCTAACACAAATTCACAGTCGCGTAAAACGTTTGAAATTCAAATTGACGGTACAAAAAAAAAAATTACTAAGAAGTGGGTAGTATCTACAGTTTCAAAGTTTTAGTTTTTTTGAAATAGTTAATATCAATTTAGATTATAGAATGTAACCAATTATTTGAAAACCGGATGCTAAACACAAGCGGTTAAACCAAGCGGAAATGACCGTAATAATGTTATTTCTTTTTAAATTTGCAAAAAAAAAAATATTATAGAATGATTAATTGGTTTTACAGCTACCAAATGAGGCAGGAACTTGACTCTAAAATGAGTGTGAGATCAGTCGAGATCACACCCAAAAAGGAAAAACTTGTTACCCACTTTTTAATAAAATATAAGAAAAAAAATTAGAAATAAACAAGAACCACAGAGCGAGCGAAATCCTGAAGAGCCGGGCGCCACTGAAGCGTTGGGGGTTGTAGATGGGGGGTGAGAAGCACCCCCAGGCTTCAGGTATAAAGAATAAAACTAATAATAAAGTTTAACAATCTTTATTTTTGTTCTCAGGGGGTAGGTTAAGATATTCGCTCGTTATGGTTCTTGTTTCTATAATTACGAGGGGAGGACTTAGCTTTTAAATTTTGCAATTAGAGAGGACTTCGCGGGTTCGGCGTCACGGGCCGGGCAGAGGCTGAGAAGGGTGTAGACCCGACGTCAGCTCCGGTCAGCAGCACCGAAGGTCCACGAAGCTCCGGAGGACTGGAGTTGATGAAGAAGTAGAACTAGCAGTAGAAACTAGCAGTAGAAACAGCAGTAGAAACAGCAGTAGAAACTAGCAGTAGAAACTAGCAGTAGAAACTAGCAGTAGAAACTAGCAGTAGAAACCCTGTAACATAAATACAGCACTAAATAGAAATTCAAAAAGTGCAGCTACCTGTGGCCTGGAAAAATTAAGTTAGCTGCATTTGCTATAGCTTCTGTAAAAATCTACCGGCTAAAAAAAATATAAAAACGTGTGTTTCAAATGATATCAAAAATCATTTAGAATGAAGTTAAAATAACAGATACTATGATAATAATCTGTAAGTTAAAAAATACAATTACTAATATATTATATTATACGGGAATCGAACCTGTACTTCAAGTAAAATGAAAACACTAAGTGTTCCCTTTAAAATCATCTAAATTTCAAGGTTATCAAAATTATTTATAGCACAACCCGGGAATCGAACCTGAGATGGAAACAAATCACGAATTGAAACTGAAATAACTAGCATTCGGACAATGTATCGATTATATTTAATTATATATTTAATTTAGCAGACAAAATTAAATATGAAATCTGTAAGGTAGAAAAATAATAAAATGTTAATTTTGCATAGTCTCAGAACTCCGTTCTGTTTCAATATATTGTTTTATGAATGTTATTACTTTAAGTATAGCAACAATTTTATAATACTTCTTTCCTTAAATATCTATTTCACCTTTATCGAAATAGAATAAAAATATTATCAAACATTAGGTTAAGAACTGGATTTTTACCTCAGTAATAATATTCAATGAACAATGAATAAACATTATAAAACAGCGAAACAGATTTAGAATTTAGAAGTTACTTATTGGACTTGTGATTTTAAAAATAAAATACTCTAAGGTAATAAACTTATAAGCGAGCAGCAAAAATTAAATGAATAGAACACTCACCCGATTTCGGGGTTATTTAGCACTTACACACAATTTGAAATAATCAAATCACAATGAAAATTGGACTCGCGAGAACTCATTTTAAATACTATGCCACCACTATGAGCCGCGCTGCGCTCCTATGTCTGCCTACCTCCATAGTACAATTGTTAACATTGTACCTTCAACTATTTTTAATTATATTTTTTTTTAAATCTATTTGTATTAAAAAAAGAATTCAAAACAAGGACAGTTTATTAAGTAAACTGTTACACATACCCAAAGCGTAAAAACGGGACCCTATTACTGAATGTCCGTTGTCTGTCTGTCTGTTCGTGACATCAGTCTGTATCTCACAATGATAACTAGACAGTTCAAATTTTCACAGATGAAACAGAATAAAACAATGATTTAATGGAGTGTTGGCGTACAACATGTAAATCTTTTAGAGTTTTTTTTTATAGACACCTACGGAAGTGTTCGTGCGCTAATCGGACTAGTTCTTGGCCTGTTTTTAATGTTGCCTTTTAAGTACTTTTCCGCTTTTTGATCATTATTATTACGTAACTGAAGCCTGGATTAACCTGTCAGGCAGACAGATCAACTGTCAGCAGACGAATCAACATTGATCTGTTCATTCCTAGACATTTTTGCAGGAATATCTGTTTCTCACATAGTTTTTGCTCTAAATTCGAAAGAAAAGAAAAATCAGCTTCAAAAATATACTTAATAACAAAAAGAAAAATATTTCGGGGAAACTGCCATAGAATGCGGAGTTTTGTAGAGATTAAAACATTATTACAACAGAAGTTTCTTGAATTATTATCCACTTGTGTTATGTTTTATTTGCAGTCGGCGATTATGTTTTAATATTTTTTATTTGCTAATTTTTTTAAAGTTGCTCCTCATTTTTGAAGTTGTTTAATGAAACCCTTGAAATTGTCGATATGATATTTATTACACTCAATATTGCGGTTGACATAATTAACATCTTGTTTTTAGTTAACATAAAATATATCACAATTCTTAATATCTAACTCACATGTCATTTTTTCTTTACTATATATATATATTTAATAAGAAGTGTCAGTCATATAATAATTATCAGCTTATTAAAATGACACTGTTGAAGCTCAGGTTATCCCCTTAATAGAATCACATAGAGTATAACTATATATTAAAAGTTCCAGATACCTACAGCCAGGACCAATAATCAGTGTCTTCTTAAGTAACGAATATCTCGTGATACAAAACTTTTGGTCACGCATCCCACGGACAAACTTTGCTAAAGTTACTTATTCTTCTCAATCATAGATAGAATGCGCTAACCACTGTACCCTTATAAAATATGTGTGTTTTATTGTGAGTACCTATATAAATGATTATTTACAATAAACGACATGATTTATTATTATATTGACGGTTTATTATTATACAAAATACTTAATGATAATTTTTCAAAACAATAATGAAACAAGAGCCCTAATTACCCCATTAATACTATGTTTTATGTTTAGATATAGGTTCTACACAATTCCACAATGAAATTAGCGCTATTATTAATTGTATATATATTTAGCGAAATAAATGACTTCAGTGAGATCTAAGTATTCATCTAAGATCGAATAGGTATTTACAAAATACTATGAAATTCATTTAAAATAATAGAAGTATTTTTATTAACTACTCATCATATACATCTAAGTATACATTTCTCAACGTAAAATTAAGTCTACATTTACAATAAAATATACATTTATCTATTTTTGAAAAGAAATTTTGTTGTGAGGCTTTCACTAATTCGCGTAATAGCATCAATTATTATACATTTTTTCTACAGGACCTCATAAATATTAAATCTGATACACTTTTCAACGTCCATAATATCATTGTTCAGAGAAAACTTCGATACAAAGTTGATATTTTTTGAGTCAACTTCTACTGCTAAAAAGATGCGAGACAACAACATTATTACCGAATCTTTTAAATTGGTATTTTCACCCTTCGCTTAAGGTGTTATAAAACCTATTTCGACATAAGCAAGTACATTGCATTGTTTATCTATACTTTTTTCAAATCAAGCACGTAATCTTCAAAATAAATATATTATGACTGTATAATTTACAATAACAAAATTACATATTTACATCTATTAATTGATCTACGTTCATCAAATCTTGTTTCAATTCACTCATTGGATTCTCCGAAGCTATTAAAGTATCCTCCGGGTCACAAAAGCTTAGAAAAAAACGTGTTCGGAGCCGTCATCCTAGCGGGATCCATTATTCTAGGATACGAAGCTCCTAGAAAAGGTCTGAACGCAACCCTGCTCTGTTCCTCCACCGGGCTGGTAGCAGCTTCCTGCGTGGACTCATCCTGGGTGTCTAGAGATGAATCGTTATTCGACCCTCCCACACCCAAATGCAACTTTCTCGTGTGCTTTTTGAGATCAAAATTCCTACAGAAACCTTTGGCACATATACTGCATGTAAATGGTTTCCTCTCATTGTGGGTGTGCATATGGAATGTCAAGTTGTAAATCTGGTGGAAGGCCTTGTTGCATATGTTGCATTTATAAGCTTTTTCACCGCTATGTGTCAATCTGTGGTTCTTGTAATTGCCTTTCTGGTGGAAACCTTTCCCGCAGAATTCACAAACGAATGGTTTGTATCCAGCGTGGATTCTCGCATGCGTGTTCAAGGTGGAAGACCGATTAAAAGCTTTTCCGCATGTCAAGCACTTGTGGGGCTTCTCGGACGTATGGATTATTTTGTGCCTGCACAATGTTGACGCTTGCCGAAATCCTTTGCCGCATATTTTGCAAACGAAAGGCCTCGCTCCAGTATGGACGGGCATATGCCTGGTCAGATTATAATGGGCGTTAAATACTTTACCACAATCACCACAAGCGAAACTCTTGTTTTTCGACGGTGATGGAGTAGGACCAGTCGTGGAGGATACCGCGTGTTCCGCAGCTGGTGGCCTCGGGCTTGGAGGTCTTTGAACTGGAGACGAAGGAGGAGGCGGCCTTGGTAAATGCAACTGATGAGCATAAGTTAGAGACACCAAATCTGGCCCATAGTATAACAATGGGTAGTGTGATACTAATTGTCTTCTGGCAGCAGGAATGTACTGTTTGAAAGCAGAGTCTAAAAGTTGTGCTCCGTAGGACAGAAAGCCTGGTGCAGGTGGAGGTTCAGGGGAAACTGATTTCTTTCTATCTGGCTCCATGAGTCTGGCGATGGAGAAGTTGAGAACGGGAGGTGCGGAGGGCGCGGTGGGGGTGTCGGGCGATTTCGCCCGCTCGGGCGAGGACTCGCGGGGCCCCTCCGGCCGCGCCGTTGACTGGAACGGCTGCATGCTGACCAGGCGATGAGAATCACATCTGTGAAGAATACCAATAGTTACATATTTATATCTTCAAATTGGCGTTCTTAGAATGTGGTTTAGGTAATATCTAGATTAAGGCGCACAATTTGGAAAAAATTGAGAAAATACCCAGGAACATTAAATTTTTAAAAAGATTTCAGGTAGAGTCATCTTAATTTCATTGACAATCTTATTATATTGAATCAATTTAGTATACACAATGCTTATTTTAAAAAAAAGTTAAAACTTTTCATTACATTTGTATTATTCAAACTTAATTAATATAATTTATTATATTATGTACCGTATTGTGAATATTGCAAATAATATAATTTTAAAATATCAGTAACAATAATTTTCAATTACACAAATTAGACTGGACAAAAGGCCCGAGGGTGAACCTGTGGGCTGATTTCATTAGTCGATAAACTAATGACAATCAATAGCAGACCAAAACTAAGAGCTCTATTAATAAGTATTTTCTACGATTTTTATAAAATTATTTTAGAAATAATATAAAGAAAACTGCAAACAACCAACAACTCATTCCAAAGAACAAAACAAACCATAGAATCCGAAAACCCCTTTTGAATTTAAAGAAAAAATAATGGTGTTTGTTGTAGGTGTGTAACGCCTACTCTTTTATATCAATAATTTAAGAGACATTTTAATCGCAGTCTTTTGTCATCTGTACACCACAATGTTAGATTTCAAACCTTATGTTCAATGCATCAAGGCTTAAAACCATCTGGAGTAATTTAACAGTTTTATATACCGTGATGTGTTTTGACTGTACAGCACTTGTTTTAAAGCAAATTGAAGTGTTTTCTGCGTTTGACGGTACAGTTGTGTACTTTATAGTACCCTTCCGATAATTCCCTGTCCTGATCTATGGTATGTACCTTACCCTTTGTCGGTCTTGTTATAATGAACTAGGGTTGCTTGCTAGCCATACTTAATTTAAATATACTAGCACCTGTGTTCGGCTTTATTCGAGTGATACTCGGATAAAAATTAGCGAAAACTATTTCTAAATTTATGACATTATTATCACATGAAATTGTTAATTTATTTTTGACACAATTTTTTTTATTATATGCAATTTCATATTTTTCTTTAACGAAATTGTTTCAATTTAGTTTCGATTGTATTATATTTCTACCTAAATTTGTTATTAAAATATAATATTAGTGAAAAATTCTTAAAAGAAAGAAATTAAAATCTTCAGTCTGGGTGTACATATGCCTCTGCACGCCATTATCTCTTAAAAGCTGAAAATCAGTGTTTACATTGTTGAGTAATAGTATAGTTGGATATTTGCCTATTTGTGTATTTTAAATATTACATATTTAGTGATGGTGATTATATTGCAATTTCCTTTTTCTTAATTTTGTTATTTATATTTGTAAAAATTATATTTTTGCAAAAAATGGTGACAGCCCTAAAGTCACCGGAGGTCAGATTTGAGGTGTTCCTCCATGAAAGGGAGCCGTGGATTGATATTGCTAATTATAGTAAGTAGTTTGATTCAAACAATTAATTTTATTAACCCGATTATCTTTATGTGATTTTTAGAGTTCCGTACCTCTAAAGGAAAAACGGGACCCTAAAAAGATCACCTTGTTGTCCGTCCGTCTGTCAAGACCCTCTTTCTTAGGAACGCGTGGAGGTATCAAGCTGAAAGGGGAATGTTTTTTTGGTACTTTATTCCGAAAAAATCTAACCACTATAAAGAAAATTATTATAGCATTTAGACTCAATCCTTTATCTTTCATCAAAGTTTCGTAATTACGAAAGGGTAATTACGAAAGTGGTTTCCGCACTTTTCCGTTGATGAAATTAAGCAATATGTTTGTTGTAATTAAAAGACTTTTTATCCAGTAAAAGCCTGTCTAATAATCAACTTTACCGACACGAAATGCTTTATTTGTTGTTAATTCGTCACTTTCAGGCATCCTGAATTTGCTTGTTTTGAGTAGACGAAAAGGCGAGACGAATAGACGACACTTCTAAACCAACGCAATCAAAAGATACAGCCGTCTATGCCACAAATTTTCGGAAATCGCAAGAGAATCAAAACCATCAGAATCTTGAAATTTGGTACCTACGAAGTAACGTCTTATAGCACAGATAAAAACTAATTGCGAAAACCGTAAATTTTCAGTTTATAAATACCTACAGGTTTGAACGGAACTCATTAATTTCATTGGTTATTTTGGTATTAAAATTCATATATTCATTATTTTTATGTGACTTTACAAAGTTAATGCTTGATCTATTAAGGTCAAATAATTTGTGAGAACTGAATTTATAAAATATCGAATAAATACTAATACAAATTATGTTAATATAAGTACCAATTTGAATTTTAATTAATGCAAAAGTGCAATGCTTCTACGAAGCTCATGTCCGCACGTTGAGAACGATAGTGACACAATGCAAAAAATGCGATTTTGAGTAATGAGCGTTTAAAGTTCAAGAAATTGTAATCAGCCCCTCTATACAACGTATCGTCACTACGCCACCTAGCAGTTTATACGCAAGCTACGTTCACAGGGATCTTTGCATTTTAAAGTTTATACTTAACAAAGAAAAATGTTGCCAAAAGTAAAAAATACGTCGTTTTTGGTTAGTGACATTGTCAGGTCACATAGTTTAGCTTAAACCATTTTGTAACTACATGTCTCAATAAATTATCTATCTTATCGTTTTATCATACAAGTTAATACGGTCATTTCATTCACTTTTCATCTTCTAAATATATTGTGACTCAAATTTGTCTAATCACGAAAATATCACATACCTACCAATCAAGCAAAACAACACGACCGACCCCCGTTTAATAAGTCGCGTCGGAGGGTTGAATCCGTCATCGCACCAATTACCCAGGCACAATACACCCGCGGCGGGCGCACGGTTAACCCGCGAAATATGTTCGCGTAATGTCACGTGTCCACCAATCATCCTGGAGGGCAAAGCCACATCACTTGTGATGGCTTTACATTTTTGATTTACATAGTGTTTTATTCAAACGTTGTCTGAGATAGCAATCATTTTATAGCCAACTAAAAATGATTACAATAGCCACACAAAACTGTCCGAGTACTTAATTTGATTGAGACAGAGTTTGGGAGAAAGTTGACTTTATATTCGCTAGTATCTAGAAATCCTTTTAGTGACATGTAAAGAAATTAGATATGCGAGTGATGAATTCTCTGTTGCTCAATTTTTATCCAAGTTCTTCTACAGTATTATTCTATTGAAATACTGTACCCAACAGTGTCAAAAGCACCGCTACCACAGCATAGATTCAATTAAATAAAACCTACTTTAAAAATTAATAAAATTTTTACTTGAAAAACAGTCAGTTTCACAAACGTCCATTAAGGTTTAACGACGCCTTTAAGCTCTAATGAATGTCAGATTTGTATGGATAAAGTCGCTTCAAACTAATGACAATCTTAATGAACATTTGTGCTAATATTGCAACAGCGTTTTGTTTGACGTTTGGATGATTTGACGCTTCGTTCGACACTGTATTTTTATTTTAGAGTATTTTTTACAGAATATAAAAACAATTGATGTTCATGTAACATCTAATTTAACTCGCTTATGGGTTAAATTATTTAAAATCCTTTCTTAGAAAAAAATAAATGATATTTGATTTGATTTAAAAAGCTAATAGCATCACTGCGATAGGTTCAATTACGTAATTCTGCTTTATCTATATCTCGTTCTCGGGTCGTTGATGGGTTTTAGCTACATCAGTGGCCCTACGGTACACTTGTGATCTACTGATACGTAAGCAGATCAGCTGATACGCGACGCTACCGATTATGACGCCGATTTGACGGGCAGATACCACGCATTGTGCTCTCCAGACAGATCTGAAGATATAAGATCAATAGAGTACTACAGAGAGTATGTACTATCTAAGCTAATATTATAAGATCAAAGACATTTGTTTCTAATTTATAACTTTAAAAGGTACTGGATTGGATCATAGTTGTTACCATTTAGTAATAAACGGTACCTACTACTTACCTGACAAAAAAATCTACAGAAATGTGTTTTATAGTCCCGTTAATCTATACTCATATTATAAAGCGGAAATATTTGATTGTTTGTTTGTATGTTTGCATCGAGTGGGCTACGAAACTATTGGAGTGATTTTAGAATTCTAATATATCATACGGGAATAACATAGGCAAAATTTTAATCGTGCGAAAGTGTGTTAAGGGAAAAACGGAACACTTGTATTGAAATAGCGCCAGCGTGGTCGGGAGAAATGAAACTATGTTTCAGGTTGTAAATCTCTAATTAACTAAACAATATTCGTCTTATATACTACTTAAATATAAGAGGGGGATATTAAGGTACGTGATATGTAACTGCTAAGAAAGCACATTTATAGAACGTGAATTATTTGCATATTAGTGCATTCCGTCCAAATCACGTTTATACCTTGATTCTTAATATTCACATACTACACCTCCCCTGAAAAGGTTAGGTGTCCCTCCCCTGAAAAGATCCTTCTTAGTTTAAAACTACTATTAGGTACACAACTTTTCACGTATCATTATAATTTAGAAACTTAACAGGAACATTTAATATTTATATAAACTTCAATTAATATAAAAAAATCATTCAGCTCACTTCATAAAAAATCTATAGCAAAATACATTAAACTACCATATACTTGTATAACATAACTCGGTTAATTCTCCTATCGTTGCGTCTTGGCGCGCCTCCGTTAGTAAAGAATCCCGATTATATAAATAACAACAGAAAAAAGAAATATTCTTATCATTAGATAAACAATAACAAACTATGAAAGAACATTGACTTTTGACAATTAACAATTAAATGAACATTTATGCGCGTACACAACTATTATGCTGACTTTGGAATTAAATTATGTTCACTACCGCGACCTTGCTGACATATGAAAATATTACATAACTTATAGTTTATCGATTTTAGTTATGTCTTGAGTTTTATATAAACATATTTTTTTTGACATTTAATTACCAATTACCAGTACAATTTTTAATGAATCAAATATTAAACCCAAATCACATACTATCAAAATCATTAATTAATCAAATATTAAACTATCTATTTCTAAGTAATGCCTATTGCATTTCTATCGTATCTTTCATCTACAAACATTTGTTCGAAATAATTCCCTTTTATGTCTATATTTTTACCTTCCGGGAATTCAACAAAGTCATCCGAATTATTTCCGGTTTTATTTATTATACTTTCATTATAACTTCCTTCGCATTTACTGTTATAATCATTTCTATTAATTATTTCTTTCGGACATTTCACTATTAAGTTTGGTAGGACCACTTTATACTTGTTTATTAGATTCTGCAAATTCGCAAACCATTTCTCATCAATAATCAAGCCTTTAACATTTATATCTCGACAAAATACCTCAAAATCTTTAATAAATCTTTTCCCTTCGAAAAGCGACGAGGTTTTAATAAACATGGCTGATTTTATTGGCACATAAACACATAGTCCTTTTCTAGAAAAAATACATTTTTTATCCTTAATGTCCTTATCAAATAAATCCTTGATGCATATATCTACATAATAATTCGTTTTTTCATTAAATTGTTCTACAGGCGCACATTTCTTGCCTACTTTAAAATTCTCGATTTTACTTTTATTTTTAATTGGTTTTTTCTTAATATTCTCCAAAGAAAAAATATTTCTATTTGCTATATCAAAATAGTTCTCATCTATATGAAAAATCTCTTCATTTAACTTTAAGTTTAAACTTCTATCACTCTTAATAAAATTATCTAAGTCTGTAAAAAACTTGCATGAAGAGCTGCTCTCTTCAGCTACATAGCGAGTTTCCTCTTCACGTGAAACTCTAAAATCGAAATCTGACCTAGTTAGCTTTCTCGAATCATTTAAATGATTCATATCTTTATTATTCTTTATACCTTGAGAATTATTACTCAATTTAAACACATTATTATAATTATACCAATTACTTTGGCTACTACATAAAATACAATTCTCATCTAACGCTGCTTGTATCGCATCCTTTAAATATTTAAAATTTCTAGCAATTAATATTAAGCTAATACGACTATTATTCAGTCCGGCTGAAAAACATCTAATAGCTAACTTTTCATTTATAGGATGCAGTATTTTATATTTCGTTTTATCATTTTCCGACTGTGCTAACGTTAACTCGCATAATAATTTATCTATCTCTGAACCATACGCTTTGATAGACCTATTTCCTTGCCTACAATTAATTAATTTTATTTGTATATTGGTTGGACATTTTTCCGGCAGAAGACATCTTTTCATGTCAATAATCAAACTATCAACGTTATCATAATTCGACTTTAAATAAAACTTTTCTACTGATGACAATCTAGTTTTCAGGACAAAATTTATCAATAATTGTTGCGAATTTTCATCAATAACGCTACTATAGTACTCAATATTATCTATCAAAGATAGTGTAACTTCTTCTTGTCCCGAAATTATAGGTAATAATTCTACAGCCGTAAGCAAGTCAAACTGCTCCATTATTTAAAAATTTACACTTCTACAAATTTACACATTACGTAGCATTTTTATAATAATTATTAAATTTACGACACGAAATACTTACATTTTTACCATTAAGATATAATATAATATACGAAAATTATCAATTGCTCTTCAGACACCATAAACACTTCCTATTTTCCTTCTTCTATAACCAAGCTTCACATTTTGGCTTGTTACAGTCTTGAGTATCAGATTCTTCTTACATATTTTTTCTTCGGTTATCCACCATTTCTTCTTCGTTATCATTTAATTACTTTTTATATTGCAACCATTTCAGTTTCTTCAATGTCTTCTTTTAAAAATTTCTTGTATCTTCTTTATATCCAATTGATAATCGAAGTTAATTTAATTTTCTCGGAGTAAAAATCACTTGCTGTTTATCCCATTATAAATATGTAGAAAAATAACTTACAGCTTGACCTCCGTCCCATGTCACAATACACACCACTACTTTGTAGCTTCGGACCATCGTGGTCACGGTCGCCATGAAATAGCGCCAGCGTGGTCGGGAGAAATGAAACTATGTTTCAGGTTGTAAATCTCTAATTAACTAAACAATATTCGTCTTATATACTACTTAAATATAAGAGGGGGATATTAAGGTACGTGATATGTAACTGCTAAGAAAGCACATTTATAGAACGTGAATTATTTGCATATTAGTGCATTCCGTCCAAATCACGTTTATACCTTGATTCTTAATATTCACATACTACAGTATGAAAAACTTGTATGTTCGTCCGTTTGTCACATCACAGCTGAATTGTCCTAAACTACTGGATACATTGAATTGAAATATACACAATGCACGTCGACAACTCAAAGATATAGTACGAAATAGTTACTTCATATGTATGAAAGTAGGTAAATCTTCGAAACCATGAGCTTTAATTATCGAAAAAAAGCACAAAAAAGAATATATATTGATTATTAAGAAAAATTATAAATGTCTAGGATTTTTTAATCAAATGTTTGTAAGGCATCTTCTTTTCATAAGTCTGACTCTCTGGTCTCTTATTATGCAGTGAGAGACAGACGTTAAAATCAACTTGATTTACTCCGAAAGAACACAAAAAAATATCAGATTGAACCTCTCACAAGATGAAGAGTTTATATTATCTGCAGAGCATGAATTCCAAGCTTCCACCAATAAAAGCGAAATTTCTAACGAAGATTTTCACAAAGCAAATTCGTAAATTCGACCGAGAACGGTCGGGTAATAAGCCGAGTGCCGCTCCACCCCGGCCACCTGGCAGTAGTAATGAGCGCGTTTTGTCGCGAAACAATAACGCTACACAATGCCGCCACTTTTGTTCCGGAACATATTGTTCCTTGAACGAAGCCCGGTCCAAATAAAGTGTTCGATAATAGCGACC